CTGGATGTCCTGTATTTTATCTGGAAACCCTACACAGAAATCGATGTCTCACTCTGTGTCTCAGAGCTGCACGGATCCAATGCCCTCCATCCTTCAGAGGCTGTCTGAAGCCCTGGGCACGACTCCCACCCTCCTCTCTTGCCGGCCGGCGGCCGGGGTGGGGGGCTGCTCGCTTCACTCCATCCTGCTTTGCTTGGTCCCTTCTCCCTCAGTCCCCAAAGCACCAGCCTCATGGGCCTGCGGTGTGACCCACTTTTACCGACCTTTCAGGGAGAGTAGAGGGCATTTGTGACTCAGCTCTCAGAGCAGGAAACACACCTCTTGTCAACTGTCAGACAGTGCTGCTTTGAATTCCATCACAGTGCTCAGCAGGGGGCGTCCTCACCGGCCAAGGCCACCACCACTCAACCCTGCCGAGCCCCGAGACACCCTCCTCCATCTCCCCTTTTCCACCCCGCTCCTCCTCTTTTAAACCACCAGCGAACAACACCCTAATCCTTGTCTTTATTATTCAAAGATCTTAAGCACCCTTTCCCACCTCGTTCCCATCTTGATTGTTTCAGGGAGTGAGTTAGGGATTTACCTTTACAATCAAAAGAGTCGTCTCAAAGCCAGACTACTGGGCTTCTAATTCAGCCTTTCCACTTACTAGCTGTGAAATCTCAGGAAAGTTATTTAACCTCTCTCTCTGCCTCGTTTTCCTCATCTTTAAAAAATAGGATGATAATATTTAGCTCCTAAGACGAGTATGAGGATTTAAGAGAGCTGATATATCCGAGAATGTCTAGAACACTGCGTGGCAGAATGGGCATTGCACATGGGTTTAATCTTGTAACTGCCTTGTTTCACCAGTTCTAAGGTGTATCTCATTTCTCATCATAAGAGCTCTTCCAGTTGTGTGGCAGCTGGGAGTGGCTGTCATTGCTGGCACATACCTAAGCTTGGTCAGGTGAGTGCCATGCCTTCAGCTTAATTGCTGTTTAAAATGTCTTCAAAAAGGTTACACTGTGGTTTAGCATTTAAACACAGTTATTGTGTATGCAGAAAGGCGGGGAAACAGAAGAGCGGAGCAAGATTTTGATATTAGTGAGGCAGTTATCAATGAAGAATGACCACAATTTCATATTTTCTTGCAAAACAGCAGCCAAGTGTTTTATGAGACCTAAGAAAAGAAGAGCCTCTCCTGAAGCCATCTAGGGACCGGAAAAAAAAAAAAAAAAAAAAAAGAAAAAAAGAAAAGAAAAGAAGAGCCTCATAAGTAAATGGAACTGTTGTCTGGTGTTGTTTTATTACGAAGAAAAGGGCAAAATGATTGCTAGTCACATGCGAAGCGAGGAAACGCCGGCAATAAAGCTTGCAGAATATCCGAGGCTTGAAAATAAATGCTGGGAACAATAGTGTACAATCTTTTAAAGAATGGCACATTGCCAGCGCTCCTGATGGCACAGAAGGTGATACCGTGTAGGAAAACATCAAGGGCTCTGAGTCAAAGAGGGTTTCAGGAAAACTGGGCTCGGAATGTGAAGAAAGTTGGGGATGATTTTAGCCAATTTGTTTTGCCTATAATTTCCTTTCATACATGCACAAAAGCAATTTTAACTTTAAAGACTGATATCTAAATGAATCTAAAATACATTTTTTTTATACAGGGTCTCGCGTTCACCCGGGTTGGAGGGCCGTGGTGCAATCTCAGCTCAATGCACCTTCTGCCTCCCAGTCTCAAGCAATCCCCCCACCTCAGCCCAGACTACAGGTGCACACCGCTGTCCTCAGCTAATTTTTTGTGAGTATTTTTTTTGTAAAGACAGGGTTTTGCCACGTTGCTCAGGCTGGTCTCAAACTCCTGGGCTCAAGTGATCCACCCACCTTGACCTCTCAAAGTGCTGGGCCACCAAGGGCAGCCTAAAAGACTTCTTTCAATAAGTAAAATTGAAAATGGTGAGAAATCAACCTGGGGGTCATTTTCCTTTCTGATTTTTAAAAATTATTGTTTTTAATTGTAGTAAGATACTCATAATATAAAATGTACCATCTTAACCGTTTTTAAGTGCACAGTTCAGTGGCATTAAGCACATTCACATTGCTATGAATCCATCAGCAATTTTTGTCATGTTTTAATTAACGGTGCATCATAGACACATAGATTTCCTAAGACGCAGTGTAGTGGCTGCTATAGAAAAAATGCAGCCATCCCTCCAGGGTAGCAGAGCTGCCAGCCAGAAGCACAGCCAAGCCCCGCCAGCTTTGATGGAATGAAATGACTTTCCCTTCTCCCTGGCATGAAGGGAAAGTCAAATGCATACACAGGCACGAGCCGGGTCATTGTTGACCCCTTCGCCTCCTCCCAGACTAGGTTCCAGATCAGAATGTGAGTCCTGACTACTGTTGTAAGCTGTGCAGCAAGTCACACTCTCTCTGGAATCCATGTTCTCATCATATAAAATGAAATCCACAGGCAAGATGATCTCTAAGATCCCATCAGGTTCTAAGTGTATGATTGCGTGATCGAACGACCACACAACACACACACCACCACAAACATATGCAAATTCAGTTTGGGGCTTTGTGGGCTACAAGGAGAAGCTGTCACACCTATTCTGGGTTATTGGGAAGCAAGAGATTTCACCCGACTGGATTAGCAGCGGTTCTTCCCAGAATCAAGGATCACTGGGGTCACTATCTCAAGATTGCGAACACCTTGACCAAAGGAGGAGAGATCGTAAAGGGTGTGTGGCTCATCGGAGAGCACACAGCAGCTCGATGGTTGGGTGTGGATTTAGAAACTACTGTCACAGCTTCGGTTCCTATGAGGTCCAAAGAGAAGGTTTTCCAGGGCCGGCTGGACTGCATTTGAGAAGCGGTAAGATAATGAATGGGAAAGTATTTTGCAACTGAGAATGTATCAAACATCCATATGGGGACTCCCAGGCTCAGTCCTGAACCTGGCCAGGTGGTGTGGACAATACGTTGGAGGGTCAGGAGAAGTCATGCATGAAGCCACAAAAGGAAGGAGTGGGGAAGGCACATTCCCTGGGTGGGGACAGAGGCACACCCAAGCCAGACCCCTCTGAGTTCTTGTCTCTTCCTATGTGCGGAGTCTGGAAGTGGGCCCCAGATCCCCTTCACATGACAGGGATCTCCCTCTCCCTCGGATCTTCTCCTGAAGTTGGGAGGGATGGCTGAGGGAAGAGTGCCAGGGCACCTGATGCCTATGTGTCAGGCTCGGTGTGAGGCACTGGAAATGTATCGGAAAACAAACCCCACAGGAATCCCTGCTCTTTTGGAGCATCCCTTCTGTATGGGTAATTTTTATTCTTTCTTCCTCCCCTTCCTCTTCCCCTTTCTCTTCCTCCTCCTCCTTAATAGCAGGAGTCATGAGTACCTATGTATATGTATGATACATTCTCAGTTGCAAAATACTTTCCCATTCATTATCTTACTGCATTCTTAAAGCAACTTTATGGGGTAGGCATCAACACTCCCATTGCCCAGATGAGGAAACTGAGGCACAGAGTGTGGCTCGGCAGTGTGGGGTGTGGCAGATCCAGACCAGGCTCCAGTCCCCGCTCAGGCACTAACCTGCTGGAGCACCTGAACAAGTCACTCCCCTCCCTGGGCCTGTCCTCACCCCTCCTCCCCACCCCATACCCCCATGATACAACACAAGGCGCTCCACTCCAGTCTCCAATCCCTCCCAGATTTCTGTTCCTGGGACTGTGACTCGCCCAGGGATCTGCTGGACAGGAGCTAGAGCAGGATGCAGGAGCCTGTCTTCCTGCCCCCACTCTGAGCCCGACCCTGCTGTGAATCCCCAGGAGAGGGAGTGAGGCTGGAGGGATTAGGGAAGGGCCAGTGAGTGGGGCTGGGGAAACTGCTAGACTTCAACGCCTCCAGGACCCCAGTGGCCACAGCAGCATTGATGGCAGGAGGCAGCATTGCCCAGATGCCAGGCTGAGTAGACACCAAGGCCAGAGAGCTGCTTATCAGGCATCACAGCTGCCCCAAGCCTGCACAGCTCATTGTCCCACAGAAATGTCTTTCTCCTGTGGCCAGAGTGGCCCTGAGCTCCCCTGGGTTCCTAGGACCTGTCACAGTTTCTGGGACCCCAACACGTGAGTGTGCAAAGACCTTTTCTCCTCAAAGTATAAATAATACTGCGAGGAAGGGCTGATATTCATCGATCACCTACTGTGGACCAGGTGCTGCTCTGAGCACTTGACATACATCGTTCCATGCAATCCAAACCCCAATCCACCTGGTCAGTTTTATTCTCCCCATTTTACAGAGAAAGACAAGAAAGGTTAAGCTATGTAGATGGAACAGGCTGATGCCCAATGGACACCCTCAGCTTCCTCAGCCACCCCCAGGTTGACTCCATCACTGAGGACCAGGGTTCCAGTGCCCCACAGCTCTGGGAGCTGCTATTTGGCAGGGGCTCCCAGGAGGTGAAGCTTAATGATTTATGGGTGATTAGCTCAAGAAGGCAGGCACAGAGGAGACAAACCTTTCTGCCTTGGAGATGTGTTACAAGCCAACCAGTTATTTTCCATCCGTGTGAAGCAGGACTAATTGGAGGCCTGACAGAAGAGCTTCCCAGTCCCCAGAAGGGGCAACGCTGATGCACTCTCTCTCTTAGTTTTGGGTGAGGTGTTGCCCCTGCCTTGGTCAACAGTTTGAGTGAGAGAGAGGGCCACTGGGCACAATCCCCACCAGAGGTTCCCATTCACAAGACCCCGTGGGTGCTGGGGAGGCCCTGGGGCAGCAGACCTGGGGTAACCAAGGGAACAGAGGCGGAAAACTAGGGACGTCAGTCCTTATCTGGAGCTCATTAAATGGGGAACATTAGTCAGCTGTGAAGGCCAAGATGGGGTGATAGGCACGCGGGTGGGCTGGGAAGGGGCACGGGGGCAGAGGCCGCCATGGAGGAGAAGAGGTATTGGCTTCAACAACTCCACCTCCCGGCCACATGCCCAGATCCAGGATGGAAGGACCCTATAAATGCCCATGACCCAGCCTCCCCAGAGGCCTTGAGAAAGGGAGTGAGAGAGAGTGAGAGAGTGCGGGGAGCCTCCTGGCCCTGTGACAGCTGGGCCAGCCACACAGCGCTTAGCATGTGGGAGCTCCGCTCCATAGCATTCTCCAGGGCCGTGTTCGCAGAGTTCCTGGCCACGCTCCTCTTCGTCTTCTTTGGCCTCGGCTCGGCCCTCAACTGGCCACAGGCCCTGCCTTCTGTGCTACAGATTGCCGTCGCATTCGGCCTGGGTATCGGCACCCTGGTACAGGCTCTAGGCCACGTAAGCGGGGCCCACATCAACCCCGCCGTGACTGTGGCCTGCCTAGTAGGCTGCCATGTCTCCTTTCTCCGAGCCACCTTCTACGTGGCTGCCCAGCTGCTGGGGGCTGTGGCCGGGGCCGCTCTGCTCCATGAGATCACACCAGCAGATATCCGTGGGGACCTGGCTGTCAACGCTGTGAGTAGCTACAACTTTGCCATCCACGAGGGGCAGATCCTGGGGAATCCCTTGTAAGGGATGAGATGGGAGGGATGGGCTCTGGGTGAGGTGGGGAGAGAGACGGAGACAGAGGCAGAGAGAGAGGCTGGAGCCAGGACCCCAGCCACCATAGGAGGCTCAGGATAAAAGAAGCAAGGATGCCAGAGCAGAGGCAGGATGCAGACAGACTGCTGGCTTCTTCTGTCCTGAGCGTCATACAGGAAGAGCTGCGTGCGGGTTTCTGTTGGGCTCAATGCCTACATTACAGTGAGGACCAGGCTTTACCTTAGCAGGGGCTGGTGTCCAAAGCAGACATGTTTTCCAAGCTGCAGGAAGCCTTGGAGTGCTCCTCACAGGGTCCTCAAGAGAGAAGAGGGGCCCAGCATTTCTTCTGCCTCAAGGGTGTGCAGGCCCCATGGCAGGTGCCCCTTACCAGCCAGGCACAGACACACCACAGCCCTGCAAGCAGCGATGAGCATTCTCACTCCTCTAAACCCCGAGGACGTCCCTGGAGCCCACGAGTTGGCTGCTGATTACATGATACAGGGGATAACTGGGCCCCGGGGGCTCTTTGGGAGCTGAGGGTGCCACAGTCCCTTCCTCCATATCCCACCCACTTCCTCTCTCAGATCTGTTCGGGGGTGTGAATCCAAGGACCACGAGAGTGGAGGACTGACCTGTGCCCCCTGCAGATCAACTCTCACTCTGTACCCCCATCCCAAGCCAGGACAGCAAGTGCCTCTTTTGTGCCTCAGTCTCCAGTATTTCTTGGCCTGTTCCATCCCTGGGCCACTGGACAAGAGTCTCAATGTCTCTGATGAGTCCTGCACAATCTCTATGGCCACCCCCCTTCTCTGCACAGCTGGCCCTTCCTCATTTTTTTTTTTTAAAACGGAGTCTCACTCTGTTGCCCAGGCTGGAGTGCAATGGTGCAATCTCGGCTCACTGCAACCTCCGCCTCAAGCCATTCTCCTGCCTCAGCCTCCTCAGTAGCTAGTATTATAGGCGTGTGCCACCACACCCAACTAATTTTCAGTAGAGGGTTTCACCATGTTGGTAAGGCTGGTCTCGAACTCCTGACCTCAAGTGAGCCACCACACCTGGCCTCTGTTCTTTAAATAAAAAAATACGATGAGGCTGGGGGCCAAGGGCCAAGGAAAGGCTAGGTGGGCAAGCTGAGGAGTGGACTCATTTTCACTGAGAACAAAATCGTTCCGTTGGCAGCAAGAAGAGGTCTAGTTAGACTGAAAGAGGAGCTTCCTGAGAGCACGGCCAGGAAGTCCTTCTCTAATAGCAGGGCACTGGGAGCACTAAGAGGCCATGGGGAACATGCTGTCCTCCTCCTCCATCATTTCACAGCTGATCGGGGCCCTCAGAAGAGAAAGAGCGGGGAGGTCTCCTCCATGCCGCTTCTCAGCATTTATCACCTTGAGGACCTGGGGAGAACCCTGCCTGGCTGGAATGGGGCAGTGGTGGGACCAAGTTTCCCTGAGGCAAAGGAGAGCCAGAGGACCCTCAAGACCATCCCACGTGTTCCTCTGAGGACGCTGAGAGCCAGCCTGGCCAACAGAAAGTTATCACTGGCATGCACCGGTCCTGTGCCAGGCCAGCCATCATCTCAGCCTTGGTACAACACTATAAGGGAAATTCTGTGATTCCCCCCTATTCTGAGTGGTAAATTGAGGCTCAACAGTCAATTGATCCAAGTCACAGAACCGATAAGCCATTTCCAGTCCTCACACAGTCCTCCAGAATCCATTTGGTTAGCCCATTGCACAGAAGGAGAAATGAGGCCAAATTAAATAGTCCGATGGCAAGTCAGAGGCCTCCAAAGTGTCTGCTTCCAAAGCTCTTTTCACTGTTCTCTAGAGGCACTGCACTGGACAACAGGAGGGACCAAGGGTTCCAACCTGATGTCTCAGGCCAAGGGGTGGGGTTTCAGGGGCTGGGAAAAGAGCGTGGGAGCTGACAGCTGTCAGTGTTGCACCCGGTGCAGGGCCCAGCCCCAGAAGGCAGGGTGTAGGGTACAGGGTGACAAACCCAAGGAGAAATCAGTGCTGGGTGCAGCCCAGTTATGAAATCACCTCTTCACTCAGCTCTGAGTTCTCTCCTTACCCAAGGCAGGGTCTGCTGAGACCATGGGCAGCCGGCATGGGTGTGGAGGCATTGCCTGGCACAGCTCCGGGGTCCTCACCCGAACCTCCAGAGGGTGTGCAGGGAGCAAACCCACAGGGCAAACCTGAGGCCTGAAAGGCGGCGGGGAACAGGCAAGGGTTAGGGAATGAAGTTAGGCTGAACCCAGGGGAAGGGGCACACTAGGACCGTCCCCAGGACCTGAGTCCTTAGACTGCGTCCCAGGGAGCCATTTGACCTCAGGAGGAAAGGCCACGGGCCTCTCATTGCACAGGTTCTGATGGTCTAGAGAGAGAGGAAGGTCTTCCTGCCACCCGGCCCAGAGCTTCCTGTGGCAGTTGAAACCTCTTCCCTTCTTGTTCTTTGGGAAACAGAAATTCCGGATCTCAGCATCCTTCTCCTCTCACACAGCAGGCTCCCAACCTCAGCCCCGAATCCAATGGGCTGCATAGTCGGTTTCCCTACCTCTGGCAGGGGGACCATGGGCGTCCTGGGGGATCACGGGCTGCCTTTGGGCCAGGGCCCAGGAAGAAGGGATCAGTCGTTCCAGCTAAGGTATTCTGGCTCCCAGCCCAGAGGCTCCTCCCTCAGTGCCTCGACTGCAGGGTGGACAGGAAGATGGAGCCCGAGAAGAGAGTGTGCTCAGTGTCCCCCCACCTGCCTACTCTGTCCGCAGCTCAGCAACTCCACGACGGCCGGCCAGGCGGTGACGGTGGAGCTCTTCCTGACGCTGCAGCTGGTGCTCTGCATCTTTGCCTCCACCGATGAGCGCCGTGGAGAGAACCCGGGCACCCCTGCGCTCTCCATAGGCTTCTCCGTGACCCTGGGCCACCTCCTCGGGGTAGGTCACCACCACGGGTTCCAGCCTCCCCGGAGGGACAGACACAGAGACCCCAAGAGGGACACATAGGCAGAACTCTCAAGAGGAACAGGCACCCCATAGGTTTGACTCCCAGATACCCCAGAGGGACAGATATCACTCCAGCCCCAAAAGAATACAGAGCTCTATAAATAAAACCTGAAGTTAAGTGAGGATAATTGTCCATCACGTGGCTTCCCTTTAGGCTGAGGTCAAGGACTGCAGGGGGGACTTCCTGCCCCGTGCTCACCTCCCTTCTCTCTTTGATTCCACCTCCCACTGCAGATCCACTACACCGGCTGCTCTATGAATCCCGCCCGCTCCCTGGCTCCAGCTGTCGTCACTGGCAAATTTGATGACCACTGGGTAATGGCTGAAACCCCCTGCCCTCCCCTTCCCTCAAAACCCACTTTAGAGGGAGAGCAAGGGCTGGAATCGCGTGGGATGGGGGCTCAGCAGCAGTACCTCAAACCCTCCACACTCCTCCTGGGGTCCTGGGGAGCCTTGGGTTCCACCCCTTGGATCTGATGTCAAAGACTGTTTCCACATCTGTGAATGAGGATGATAACAGCTTACCTCCCTGGCTTCTTGGGAACAGTAAGTGAGGTTGCTGGTGTCACCTAGATAATGCAGTGCCTGGCCCTTAGAACTCTGTGAGTGGTCATATTTATGCTAGCTAACCCTTTATTTTTAGTATTTAGCACTTATCTGGTGCTTAGCATGTGGTGGGCCTTGTTCTGAATGCCTTGCAAATATTAACTCATTCAGTTTTCACAATCACCCTCGGAGGTAGGCATTCTTACAGTGAAAGGAGACTGAGGCACAGAGAGGGCAAGTAACTTGTCGAGGCGCACACAGCATTTAAGTGGTGGAATCAGGATTCACACACAGGCAGTGGCTTCAGAATTCGCACCCTTAACCCCGCAATGACAAGTCTTCCCCAGCAGCTGGCGTTTTCACCGCTAATTACATAAATAAGCATTTTACTAGAATAATGGTGAGGAGGAGGGGTGCGGCCGCAGACTGAGGCTCCGCGTGCCTGCGGAGGCGCGGGAGCCAAGCCACCCTCTCCGCTCGCCTGCAGGTCTTCTGGATCGGACCCCTGGTGGGCGCCGTTCTAGCCTCCCTCCTGTACAACTACGTGCTGTTCCCGCCAGCCAAGAGCTGGTCGGAGCGCCTGGCGGTGCTGAAGGGCCTGGAGCCGGACACCGACTGGGAGGAGCGCGAGGTGCGGCGGCGGCAGTCCGTGGAGCTGCACTCGCCGCAGAGCCTACCGCGGGGCAGCAAGGCCTGAGGGCCGCCCCGATGGAGGCCCGTGGGGCCCAAGGCGGAAGGGCCCACCCCGTCCCTCCTCTCCCCCAGGTCTGAGGTTGACCCCCAGCGCAGAGTCGCTGCTTCCTGGACGTGTACGCGGGAGGCCAGTGCTGTGGGCAGGCAGAGAGGAGGCTGCGGGGTGGGGGAGCCCTGAGCCGGGCAGCTCCCCTGCCCTGAGGCTGTGGACAGCCGGCGGTGGATCCCCCAGCCTTTTGCGGGGAACTGGGAAGTCGGAGGGTTGAGCTAGGGAGGGAGGCAGGTGGGTGGGAAGAGCGAAGATCTGGAGAGCCTGCACCCAGGTGGTGGGTAGGGAGTGTACAGATCCCTGCCTTGGGGGTTCTGGGAACGGTGCAACTGGTTTCACTAGTGTGCGAGTGCTCTGTTCATCCCCGAGTTCTCCTTTGTCCTCACGTGCAGGGTTGTGGGTGCCCCTGAGTGTGAACAGGTTTGCCTGCGTTGGTGCAAGTGTGCACGGCTGGGGACTTCTCACTTCCCCTTGCACCCCTTCCACACCACCATGTCACAGATCCGCTTCCTCTGCAATGGGTGAGTGTGGGTGCCAGTCATCCCCAGGAGAAGCGGAAGAAAGGAAGGAGGACACTTTGAGAAGGCTGAAGGGAGGGTCTTGATTTCCAGCTGCTATCTGGCTCCTCCTGAAAAATTTCCCCCACCTGCAGCGCTGGGCCCCAAGACTTGCCAGGACTTATTGCTGGAGGTAGAGAGGTGTCAACCAGAGACTCCCCTAGAAACACCCTCTGGAAGACCGGGCGCGGTGGCTCCCGCCTGTAATCCAGCACTTTAGGAGGCTGAGGTGGGCAGATCACCCGAGGTCAGGAGTTTGAGACCAGCCTGACCCACATGGAGAAGCCCCGTCTCTATTAAAATACAAAATTAGCTGGGTGTGGTGGCACGTGCCTGTAATCCCAGCTACTCAGAAGGCTGAGGCAGGAGAATCGCCTGAACCTGGGAGGTGGAGGTTGCGGTGAGCCTAGATCACACCATTGCACTCCACCCTGGGCAGCAAGAGCAAAAGCCCGTCTCAAAAGCAAACTAAAGAAAGAAAAAAGGAAGGAAGGAGGGAAGGAAGGAAGGAGGGAGGGAAGGAAAGAAGGACCCTCTGGAAAAAGGAAATCATTGCTGGCCGAAGATTTCCTTTCTGCGGTGAGGGGGAACCTCTCCAAAGAGGAAGCATGAGTGTGCACGGCTGCACATGTCTGTACGATGTGTCTGCCCGGGAACCCCGTCTCCAGGGGTGCCCCAGACCAGAGATTAGCCTCCCACTTCGGCAGAGAAAACAAAAGCCCTTTCTGGGACCCTGGCCTTTGTCTTGGGAGAGGGGGAGATTTGCAACTAGACACTTCTTGAAAGGAGACACTCAAGTTTCTAAAGTGAGCCCTCTTGCCCAGCACATACTTATGGCTGGCTGGGCAAGGCACTCAGGCATGCAACCACAGGCACCAGGCAACACCTGTCCATCACCTATCTCACTCCCCCCATCCTTGGGCAGCGCTCCTCCACCCCAGGAATCTCTGTTCCTTCTGTCCCTGCCTCTCCACAGCCTGTGATTCCCCACTTCTGGCTCCTACCACTAGACAGTTATTGTGGAGAGAGCAGCCTGCCACTCTCAGAACCAGAGAAGGGAAATGACTTCTCCAGGCGGAGGCAGATCTGAGTCTAGAACCCAGGTTTATAAATTTCTAGGCCAGTATGACTGCTGCTCCCAAATGAGATTAACTGGGATTAAGTGAGATGATGCATGTAAAGATGAAGATACTGTGTGAACTGTAATTCTTTTTTTTTCTGAGATGGAGTTTCATTCTTGTTCCCCAGGCTGGAGTGCCATTTCAGCTCACTGCAACCTCCGCCTCCCGGGTTTAAGCGGTTCTCCTGCTTCAGCCTCCCATATAGTTGGGATTACAGGCATGCATCACCTAATTCTGTATTTTTAGTAAAGATGGGGTTTCTCCATGTTGGTCAGGCTGTTCTTGAACTCCTGACCTCAGGTGATCCACCCGCCTTGGCCTCCCAAAGTGCTGGGATTACAGGAGTGAGCCACTGTGCCCGACCATGAACTGTAATTCTTAATACCACTATCATGCATTACTAGGGTAATTTTCTTTATTTCTACTTCCTGGGGGAACGATACAGAGGGAGTCTGATGCTCAGCATCCCTTACCTCCTTTCACTGATGGCCAAAGCAAAGGAGAGTCCGGGGAGCCCACAAGATCCAGGTAGAAGGAGATGGGTTTGGGCTGGCCCCATCATGGCACAGCCTCTTAACCTCTCCTACCCTGAATGTGTGCCCTTTTCTCCCACCTTCTTCCTCCCACCACCCAGCCCCATGCATTCTCTCCCTCCTTCTCCAGCCTGCTGTATAAGTAACATTCGGCTCATACCTTGAGACCCCCTCTCCATCCTCTCTGTGCCCTCCATGCCTTCAAGTCTTCTGTCTGTATCTATCTCACACTGCATGCACCAAGCACCCACTGTGCACCAGGCACTAAGCTTCTAGCCTCTTTCTCCCTTCTGCTCCCATCCAAGAAAGACAGTGTATAAGGAACATCCCTGCAACTGTGTCCCCTCTCATCTATGCTTTTTATTGTCTTCCCTGACCAAAGCTCTCTTTGAAGTCCAAAAAAGGCTGCCCTGGGCCATCTGTGCTATGGAGAGGACTCTCCCAAACCCCCAACAGCTAGTGACAGCTACTTGGCCTCACTACCAGAAGCGGGGTGGAGTCAGAAACCAAAGTGACCTCCAGAGCTGTCCTCCTGGCACCTGAGTGTCCTTGCTCTAGAGCTTCAAAGGCAGCAAGGCAGTGAGCTATGAGCCCAGCATGGATGTCTCTCAGGCACCTCGTCCCCACTCTACCTCACCCCAGCAAACTTCTCTAGAAGAAGCCAAGAATTTGTCTGTATGTCTGTTTCACTTCTTGGATTGCATCTCCCTGAAAACTAAATGTGAAATCCCTGCCACTTCCAGCCTCGATTGCACGGATTGGGGTCAGAGGTCAAAAAAGGATTCCACGTGATGGAACTCCAAGGGTGGAGGGAAACTGGCAGTTCCTGGGGATCCCTTGCTGTGCTGGGTGCCTTGCATGCACTGGCTCATCTAATCTTCCTAAGACTTCAGCTAGGTTAGGGAAGGACACTGTCTTGCAGTGGACAGAGAGCCTTGGCGGGGGCAGCGGGGTAGAGAGGACAAAGAACATGGGGCTGGATTCTGCCCTTGAAGACCACTGGGTCAGGAGGAGAACGGAGATCACACACACCAAACCAGACAGAGGCAGGGCAGCATGGAGGCAGGTGAACAGACCACCAGGTCCCCAGGCTGGGGACAGAAGGTTCTGAGCTGTCCCGTACTCCCACTTTGTGCCAAATGACTTTGCACCTGCAGTTGGTGCTTCCATGTTGTTTTGTATCTTTAAGCTGTGATGCTGTCTATACACAATACCTCCCAGCTAGACTGTAAGCCCTTTGGGGACAGGGCTCCTTCCAGTTCTTAGATGGCATTCTCCTATCTACCCTTCCTTCAACTGTTTTACCTAGCACAGTGCTCTGCATGTAAGCACTCAATAAACGCGCATTTGCCAGTAAGTACTGGGAGTGGTCAATATAAATACAGTCCAAGGTACCAGAAGACAGGCAGAGCTCCCTACCATTTCTACCCCAGCCCTCAGCTTCCCCCAGGGAATCTAGAGGTCCCTATATCAGGAGAGGAGGGGAAAGGCTCTCCCTGAGATATTCAAATTTCCCCTGCTACAAATGGGGTGACCCATCTCTCAGCCCAGAAGGGTCCCAGGCATTCCTCTGGAGCTGGCAGGGCAGGGCCTGTCTGCTCAGGCAAAGATAATTCCAAGGCATAACAGGAGTTTCTTGTGATGACTTGGGGACAGAGGGACCCTAGTGGTTAGCGAGATGGAAGAGCCTCAGACACAAGCCTAGGAAACAGAATCGGCTGTCCCGTGTGTGTAACCTTGACAGATCAAATCTCCTCCTTTGACCTCGCCAGGCCCCTTCCTGGTGACCAAGTCTGTTTGGCGACCTGTGGTGCCCATCTCAGGTCACTGTGTGACCCTAGGCAAGTGATCTCTGAGTCTGGGTTTTTTCACGGGTAGCTTGGAATCAAATCACACAGTGGAGGCCAACTATAACTTTGTAGATTATATTCTGAATCTCTGAAATGGCAAGTACAAGATCTTGGCCTTAACAGTCACTCATTAGCTGCAAAGGACTGAGCTCAAATCCCCAGGTGGGACCTTCCCCCTGTGGCCCAGCCTCATGTGAGCACTCCTGATTCCTTTCACTCCAAGACGCTGGAGTTTGAGACCTGTGGACTCGTGAAGACAGTGCCTGGGGACAGAGGATAAGAAAGCAAGTGGGTGAGGACTGGAGGCAAGCTCCGCAGAGAAGGAGCCTGGACCCCAGTGGCCTCTGAGGTCATTAGGGTCATTGCCCAACCAAAGCCCCAAGCCCAGCAGAAAATCCTGCATACAACTGGTGCGATGGAGGCAGAGCACAGGGACCCATGGAAGAAAGGACAGACAGACCTCCAGCCTTAAGAGGAGAGACTTGGGGGAGGAGCTGTTCTAGCAGGAAATGCCACAGGTGAGCAGGAACAATAGTGGGGTTTCTTTGGCCTTTGTTTTCTTTGGCATCTTTGCTGCCACGGAGCCCAAAGCCCGCTCCTCCAAGCCCTTGGCATTCCTTCAGGCTCCTCCCCTCTGCCCTGCCTGACAGACTGACAGAGGAGGCACCTGTTCTTTCCTTCCACTGCACCCTCAGGCTGGACTCTTCCCCCAGCTTAGTGCCACACTAAACCCTCAAGGGGCTTTTAAAATTAACAGTCACAACATAAGGAGACTTTACGGGGCCTTATTCTGTGCCAAGCACTGTGCTAAGAGATCTCTAGCACATGTGGGGATGGAGGTCTTTAATGCAGCTCCTCTCCTGGGAGCCTGAGGGTGGGTCCTCCCCCTCTCTCTAAGCCCTGGAGAGTCCTCCAACCTCATTCCCCACATGCCCGACCTGGAGTGGGTAGGGAGAGGGAGAGGAGAGGTATGGGAGGCCCAGCAGGTCACAGAGAGGCTACAAGCTCGGAGAGAAGGGGGATGGGAACTGGAAGAAAGTGTCACCCAGACCAGGGGTAGAAGGACTTGACTCTGGGGAAACTGAAAAAGACCACGTGTAAGAGAGAGGCATGGAAAATGAGGTAGAAACAGACAGAAACAAAGAAAGGCACACAAATTAAAAGAGGCAGAGGAAAAGTGAAAACAGCCAGGAGACAGAAACTGCAAGATGAGAGAAATGAATAGAGAGAAAAAGACAGAGAGGCTAAGACAGCAAAAGGCAAGAAGAAAAAAAACCAAGATGAGAAAGTGTGAGAGACAGAGAGAGGTGGAGAACAGAGAGAGGCTGAAATGAGAACGAGACCAACGAAGAGACGAAGAGGAAGAGGCTGGCAGAGGGAGAAGGACAGAGAGACTAAAGACAGAGACAGTGAGAGCGAGAGAGTTTTGCAAAAGACTGTCAGAAACAGAGATTTCGAGGGGAGAGAGACCAAGACCAAGTGAGGGTTTGAAGGAGGCTGACGGGAGGAGGAGGAAGAGAAGGAGAGTCTTAGATCCAGGGTGAGGGGCTTCTGGCAGGGAGAGGGGAGACGCCAAGGCCGCGCTTGGGAGGTCAGTGGTGCGCCTCTATCTACCCTCCCTGCTCCCCGGCTCCCCCCTCCCGCCCCCCGTCTCAGCCCCATCCCTGTCCCGTTGACAAGGGGAACCCCGGCCGGGTAGAGGGCGCCTCCGGGATTCCGTTGCCTAGTCCAGGTACTACTCAGCTACCGGGCGTCGAGGATTGCGAAGCGCCGGGCAGACTGGCACGGTGCCCACTTTTCCCAGAACGCCAGCTTTCCAAGTCCAGAAGCTTGCCCGGCCGGCCCGGCTCGGGAGTGACCCACGACGGCCAGACCGCCCTGCAGGACCCAGCCCGGCCGCCCGCCCCCGCCGCCGGCGGTCAGGGAAGTGAGCCGCACAGACCTGCTGGAAGAGCATCACTCTGACCCAGCCGGTGGTGAGGCGGGTCAGGATGCTCCGGTCGCAGGAGGAAAAGGAGGAGTTGGACCAAGGGCCTGAAGAGAAGAAAAGGGGAAGCCCGCGGAGTGCGGAAAAGGCCGCGAAGCTAGAAGCTCAGAGGTCGGAGACTACCGCCGGAACCGAGCCCAGTCTCCCAGGGAGTCCGGGGCGCACCGCACGGAGGAGAGCGCGGGAGCCAACCTGGGCGCATCATGCGCAGGGCCCGGGCCTCGGGGCCGGTCTACACCGCCGCCTGGGTCACGTGGCCCGGCCGGGGGGCGGGGGTCGCGCCGGGACTGCGCTTGGCGGCAGAGAGCGACGGGCCCGCGGCGGCCTCGAGCTTCCCAACCCGCGCGCCGCGCTGGCCCCCGAGCGTGGGAGCCGCCCCCTGCCCCCCCGCGCCCGCCCCGCGCCCGACCGCCCGCCCCCTATATAGTGCGCCCCTGCAGGGCCCGCGCCAGGCCGCCAGCCTCCGAGTGGGCGCGGGACAGCGCGCAGCGCCCCGCAGCGAGGCGCCCGCCCCTGTCGCCCCCACTTCCAGCGCCGCCTGCGACCCCACGGGCGCCCCACGCCGCGGCAGCAGCCGCCGGGCCCCCGCAGCCACCATGAAGAAGGAGGTGTGCTCCGTGGCCTTCCTCAAGGCCGTGTTCGCGGAGTTCTTGGCCACCCTCATCTTCGTCTTCTTCGGCCTGGGTTCGGCCCTCAAGTGGCCGTCAGCGCTGCCCACCATCCTGCAGATCTCGCTGGCCTTTGGCCTGGCCATAGGCACGCTGGTCCAAGCCCTGGGGCCAGTGAGCGGCGGCCACATCAACCCCGCCGTCACCCTGGCCCTCTTGGTGGGCAACCAGATCTCGCTGCTCCGGGCTTTATTCTACGTGGTGGCCCAGCTGGTGGGCGCCATTGCGGGGGCTGGCATCCTCTACGGGTTGGCACCTCTCAATGCCCGGGGCAATCTGGCCGTCAACGCGGTGAGTGCCCTGATGAGGTGGGAGCCGGGACCCTGGGGTGGGCTCAGGACCACCTTGGAAAGAAGGGGTGGCACAGAGTGGGCCCGCTCACACCCTTCACCAGGAAGGCAAGAGCCTCCCGAGGCCAGGAAGGCGGCTCTCCAGGCCGATGTGTGGCCCCTTCCTGCCCACCTCCTCTTCCCCTCCTTTCATGCTGGCCCACCCTGGCCTCTCTCCAATGCCTGCTGCCCCTCCTCTCCTGCTGGAAACTTCTGCCTCCTCTTGTCTCACCTCTGAGCTGCGCCTTCCTCCTGAGCCCCTCACCTCTCCCATCTGCTCCTCAGTGGAGGGGTTGAGTGGAACCACCAGCGAGAAGCCGGCTGTAATTTCGGCTTTGGTGACCCTGGCCTGCCTGTGCTTCACTGTTCCCAGCCCCTTCATGGGGATGCTGTGCCTGCCACAGCAGTGTCGAGGGGCTGACATTTAGAAACCGTAGCTAGAAATCCCCTCATGTGGTGCCAGTGCAGAGTGCTCTCTGTTGAGTATTGGTCCCACTTTCTCCAACCCGTGCTCCTCCCCCACACCCTCGCCCCCACCACCCTCCCACCTCCTGCAGCCCCAGACTCAGCCCCCACCCCAATGCAAACTGGCTTCATTAATCAAACACAGAGGAGGATTTGCTCGGCCATTGTGAAGCCGTGAGTCAGCCACACTGGAGAGACGGGTTTAAAGTTGGCACTGGCATGGGGCCAGACATGGGCAGGAGGCTGGGATGGGGGTATGAGGTAGGCAAACCGGGCAGCTGCCCACAGGATGGAAGGTAAATGCCAGCTTGTGGGGACTGGGGGGTTGGTCAGAGCCGTTGATAGGACCGTGTCCAGGAAAAGCTCCCCTGACACTCTGTGCTTTGGCTGCAGGCCTGAGCTTCAAGCCTGTGCAAACTGAAATGTATAGTGTCTTTGACAAATGGCTCTGCTGGGGTGATGTCCATGGGGCTTGGCTTCCAGGTGCCGAGGTGCTCTGAGTGCTCCTAGTGCTCCTGGAGGCCAAAAGCCCTGCTCCCCAAGCCCCTGGCTAGACAGCCAGAAGGTGGCCGGAGTCCTAACCCACCGTCCCCTTGCAGCTCAATAACAACACGACACCGGGTCAGGCCACGGCAGTGGAGCTGATTCTCACCTTCCAGCTGGCACTCTGCATCTTCGCCTCCACTGACTCCCGCCGCACCAGCCCTGTGGGCTCTCCAGCCCTATCCATTGGCCTGTCTGTCACCCTGGGTCACCTTGTTGGGGTGAGCAGTGCTGACACTGGGCTGGGGTGAGGGTGGGGGTAGGCTCTGGAGGCAAATAATGGAGCCCCAGAGGGGAGCCCACTTCAGATTGATGAGTTCAGCAGAGTTTAAGGCCTAGATTTAGGGGTGCTGGACTCTGGTCCTACCGGACCAGATCTGGGGGGATCAATTCCAGCAGAATTGATCCCCCAAAACCTCTGGGCTGAGGAAAGATGGGAGTAAGTGGGAGGTGGGATAGGGCAGGAGTCAAACCCCTGCTCAGAGCAGAGAAGAGAGGAGGGTGTAGTTAAGAGTCCATGGTTAAAGGGGCAGCTGGGATCCTTGGAAGGAGAGGTTGCCAGCCCAGCAATCCGGGGACCTGAGTTTGAGAGCTGGCTGAGCCCCTGGACTGCGATGTGACCTGGGAGAGTCCAGGTCCTGTGGGAGCGGGCCCGGGTGTTGCCTTTCTCTCCACCACCCTGTCTCTATCCAGATCTACTTCACTGGCTGCTCCATGAACCCAGCCCGCTCTTTCGGCCCTGCAGTGGTCATGAATCGGTTCAGCCCAGTTCACTGGGTGAGTCTGTCCCCTCCCCTGGCTCCCCAGAAATGAGCTCCTGGAGACCCAGCAGTGGCAGCTCAGAGCTCACCAGGGCTTCTGGATGCTGCAGGCCGAGAGCTTGGGGGTGAGCCAGGGAGGGTGGTTGAGAGAGCAAGGGACACAGTAGGGGATGGGATTCGGCCAGAGGGGCAGAGGTGGCTTTGCATGCTGGGCAGACTGGGGACAGGGAGTATCAGTGTCTGTCTCCTCAGAGAAGAGGCTCTGTACTGAACCTAGAGGTGCAGGGGGCTCTGTGTCAATTCCCTTGAGCATCTCTCTGGTGTCTGTCCCTCTGGGCGTCTGTGTGCTGGTCCTCTCTGATGTTTTATTGATCTGTCCCTGTTGAGGCAGTTGGAAGTCTTCCTGTGGGTCTGTCCCTGTGGACAATCTGTCTGCCACCTCCTTTGAGAGCTCATGGTTACTCTCTCCAGGGTCTGTTTCTGTCCCTATGTGGAGGGGAGAGGCGCTCTGTTCATCTCTCTGAGGACCCACGTGTCCCCTCTGAAGGTTTATTTGTTTCTCTTTAGGGTGTGGTTGGAGGGGGTCTGTCCCTCTGGGAATCTGTCTGCCTTCTTTGAGGCTCTGGGTGTCTGGGGTCCATGTCTCTGTCCCTGAGAGTGGTGTGTCAGTATATCCATCCCCAAGGGGGGAGGAAGGCTTTCTCCCTGGAGGTCTGGAAGTCTGCATGTCTGTCTCCTCCCGGGGTCCACAGGTCTGTCCTCGGTGGGGTATGGGGGCGTCTCATCTCTGAGGTCTGGAGCTCAGCGCCCTGAACCCTACCCTGTCTCCACCAGGTTTTCTGGGTAGGGCCCATCGTGGGGGCGGTCCTGGCTGCCATCCTCTACTTCTACCTGCTGTTCCCCAACTCCCTGAGCCTGAGTGAGCGTGTGGCCATCTTCAAGGGCACATATGAGCCTGACGAGGACTGGGAGGAGCAGCGGGAGGAGCGCAAGAAGACCATGGAACTGACCGCCCGCTGACCAGTGGCAGGCAGGGGCAAGCCCCTCAGCCCCTGAGCCAAGGCGGGCAAAAAGAAAAAGTATCTAACACAACACTTCCTTTTGGCACAGCCGGTCCTCTTGGCTGGGGAGGAGGTGCTGGCCCCCCTGGCTGCACAGTTAGAGAGGCGAGAAGGAACCCATGATGGGACTCCTGGGGCAGGGGCCAGGGGCTGGGGTCTGCTGGGGACAGGTCTGAGGTCTGGGAGAGGCCAGACCTCAGAGATTGTGAACGCAGTGCCAAGCTCACAGGCTGCAAGGGCCAGGCCACAAAAGGGTGAGCCTGCAGCCTGCATCCCCCACCTTCCCTAACCGCTCCTCAAGAGCTGAAGGGATCCCAGCCCCTCGGTGGGCAGAGGCAGACCCTCCCCAGAGCTCCTTAGGAAGAAGACACACTGGTTCACTGAATGCTGCCTTATTTATTTCTGGTGAGGATGCATGGTGTGGGGCTGCTGGTGTTTGGAGTGGGGGCTTCCCAATAAATCACTGATACGTTCTACCTCTGTCTGTCCCCAGAGTGCCTTGAGACACTCTGGCCCATTGTCTCTCCTCTTTGTCATCCCACATCCTCCATCACGATCTCTACAGGGTACCAGGGGACCTCAGGACAAGTGCTCTGTGGCGAGAAAGGGAGGCACAGGCCAGGGGCGGCCCAGAGAATCCAAGAGATGAGGACAGAGCAGGAGAGACCGAGCAAGAGAAGATCGAATGTCAAAATAGAGCTAGAGGCCAGGAAGGAGGGTCCTCACCGCAGTCACCCTCCACCCCTCCCCCTCAGCTGTGTCAAGTCCCTGCCACTTGAGGAGAGCTGGGCTGACACTCGAGGGCAGTGCCAGGGTGTGGCAGGCAGAGTGGAGGAGGAGTGAGTCAACCGCGGCCCCTCGAGATGCCAAGGGGGTGACCAGCCAGGTTCTGTCGCAGCCCTGGGCTCCTTTCTCTGCACCTTGATGTTTCAAAAAGGTGCCCTGTTGGGAGCCTGTACTCAGAGGGAGCAGCCCTCTGTCACCCCCAGAAGCCACATGTGGCACAGCTCTTTTCCAGGGCTTCTCTCTCCTGCCTCTGCCCACCAGTGTCCCCACCGTCCTCTCCTCTGGGCCTGGAGCTCTGCCCTAGTCTGCTCTTGTCCCGCTGTCACTGATACTCTTTAGGTAAACTCCTTAAGCTCTCAGGGCCTCCATCTCTTCATCTGTAAAGTGGGGAGAAAATGTCACTTTCCTCACAAGGTAGTTGTGGAGACCGGATGAGGCCATTCGATGCCCCGGCCTGGCCAGCTTTTTGTGCCGCAAAGGCAGAGGTCACACAGTGAACAGCTCCGCACAGCCCAGCTTCGCAGTGAGCCCAGCCTGGAGTCCGGTAACCCACATTCCAACCTGGCTGCGCAACTTGGGGCAACATAAGCTCTCTGAGCTGTAGGGACCTCATCTGCAAAACAGCCATACTTTTGCCAACCTGATGCGCCTGAGGAGAAAATGAGACCATGCCTGGAGGTGAACCGTTTGTGCAAACGGCCAGGCACCTTGGAGTGCTCATTAAAGTCGTGTGAAAAGAAACTCGCACGTACCTGCCTCATCTGGGGTCCCAGCCACATGCTTCTGCCCTCCTAGGGGTGTCTGGACCTGAGCGCCTGTCCAGCGGGGCCGGGAAACGGACTAGAAGGGGTGGGGGAAGCTGTTGGTTTGGGCAGCGGAGGGCCAGTCCCAGGGGCTGGGGTGAGGAGCGGCAGACTCCCCCCCCCCCCCCCGGCCCGCAGCCTCCTCCACACTTAGAGTCTAAGCATCTACAAGTGGGAGCTCAGCCACTCATGCCCGGGCAGGAGGCTTACAGTAAACAGCACGTGGCAGTGCGTGTGAGAATCCCGGGAGCCCAGGGAAGGAGCCGCCCCGACCCCACTGCGCCCCTTCCCACTTCTTCCAACCTGCCCCAGGCTGGGGGAGCCTGGCCGCAAATGCCAGATCTGGCCAGCAGGGGGCGAACTCGTCCACCGAATCTACAGCGTGGCGCTTCCTCTACCACAAGTCCTGGGTCTGGGCTCCACCAGATGGGGGTGGGGTGGAGAACACAAGGAATCCCTCAGACTTGGGTCCCCTGGGGCCACCTTGAGGCATCCTATCCCAATGCAACCCCGCCCGACTATCCGGGAGGGGCGCAGAAGACAGGGGAGCCCTTCTCCGCTCAGTCTCCAGGAGACAGGTACAGACACAGCCATGACCGGGAGGCTGGGCTCTCCCTCCAGCCCAGTGGGGACCACAACAGGGTGGACGGTGGACTCTTAGGAGACAGACCCGCGGGTGTGGGCGAGGCACCCAGTCAGAGGGGGCTACTGGCCCTGAGCTTCCTGCAGGTTGCCTCGCCCGGCGTCGAGCGAGCGTCCACCTAGGGCTAGGGGCTAACCAGCGCCGTGGTTGGGCCGTGTGGCCAGCAGGGGTCGCTGTGTCCTCGTGTCGGATCTTGCAGGAGCGGCAGGTCTGCGAGTTCACAAAGCCCCGTGCACACACGCGTGCACGCACACACTGACCCCACACAGCTCCGGGGCTCCCACACACTGACCTTGTCATACCCGAGGGCTGCATCTTCCGGGTGTGTGGGTCCCTTTCCCTGTGCACGCTCACTCGAGTGTGCAGAGCACATCAGCCCTCCTCCAGCATTCGCCCACAGCGCCACCGCGGGCCCTGACCTATGATCCTGGCTCCGCGGATTCTTAGAGGCATACCTGTGTGCCGTCCAATGCAAGCACACACATCACCTCTGCTGCAGCTAAAGATGGAACCCAGGGAGAGTCTGGATTCTCCTGTGGGAGGCTCCCTTCCTCTTTCTCCCCCTCTTCGTCTCCCCAGGGGCTGCCAGTTCTCACCAGCTGGGACGAGTTGATTTGGGGACAGATGGAAGAGGCCTGGGAGGAGAGGTGGAGAGCAGACTGAGGGCTGGCTGTTGAGATGGGTGAAAAGGAGCATGGATGGCTGGGAGGACCGGGTCTCTCTGCTCCTCTTGGCCTCAGCTTCCTCCTTCATCACACGTGGATGAGGACATCAGATCTCTTGACCTTTCCAGGTTTTGTGTGGTGAAATGAGGCATGGGAAGTCACCTGGAATCCCTTCACCATCAATTTGTGTTCTCCCTCCTCCTCTCTCCTGGTACCTTCCTCCTTCCCCTCGCCTTTCCCCCCTTAGCTTCCCCAATCTCTGATAGGACCTCAGTCAGAGCTGCATGGACAGGCAGCCCTAGACAGCCAGATACGGAGCCTTGACAAAAGGGTTTTGAGCATGAGTGAGCTTAGAGCTTGGGACTAGAGCCCAGCGCTGGCTGGGTCCTGGCAGGTGCTGGTCAGGGCAGGAAGCCAGGCCTGAAGCAAGCCCTGATCAATGCCCACCTGGCCTCAGGAGGTGAAGGGCCTTGTCCCAGGCCAGGCAGAGGTCAGGAGGTTCAGCCCCAGGCTAGCTGGGGACAAGGGCTGCCGCTGCACTTAGTGCTGTCAGGCTCCAGGGCCCAGGGCAAGTGCTAAGGTGCCTGTCCTGGAACAGCCATGCAGCCCCGTCCCCACAGCTGTGTCACGGCAGGGGCGGGAAGCTGCAACCCTAATCATTCACGTTTTCTATATGGAGGCCCTCTCCTAGGCGTCAGCACATTTTCTGTAACTACACCCGGGGCAGAGGGACCTGTTAGCACTATCCCCGTTGTGTAAATGAGGATGTTGAGGTTAAGCTACTGCTTGGGCTGCAGTACACATGGCAGTGTTCACAATGCTTTCACTCACCACCTCAGCAGCTCTCGACAGAGACGGGTTACTGCCACTTGGCACCTGTTTAACAAGGGTAGAAACTGAGGCTCGGTCAGATGAAAGAACTGGTAAGTGCCTGTCCACCAAACCCTCTACTGGCCCCATCCGAGATGAGGAAAGGAGACAAATGCCCTTGAGGCACTTGGGACAGCCCCCAGCTAGGGACCCCCTTGCCAGGGAGGAACTGTGCCTACGCTGCCCCCACAACCATGCCCTGTCATCCCTCGAGCATTTCTTGAATGAGTCCTCTATGTTGGACAGGGATGGAGTCTGCGCTGGAACAGTGGAGGCATTGAGGAGGCCGAGGCCACAACCAGCCCCTGGCTTTGCTCAAGCCCTGCTTCTCTAAGAAGCTTGCCCTGATTCTGCTGGAGAGGGAAATCAGGGCAGGCTTCACAGAGGAATTGCACTTGAGCAAAGTCTTGAGAGACAAAAAGGAGAGGCATCCAAACTCCACAGCAAACAGCTCGTTCTGGGGAACTAGGTTTGGGCTGGCTGGAGTAGAGGGTGCAGGGTGGGCAGTGGCAGCGGGGAGCCTTCCCTGGACGTTAAACATGGATATTCAGACCTTAGCCTGCGGCAGTGGGGAGCCATTGAAAGTTTTTGAGCAGAGGAGTAACATGATGAGCTTTGCATTTTGGAAGGATCTCTCTGACAGTGAGTGGAGAGGAGAGCAGCGTGGAAGGGCACAGATGTGCAGTGCAGTCTAAGGGCCCAGGAAGGAGGCCGATGCAGTCGTCCTGGAGAGATGATAAGGCTGCACTGGGCCAGTGGTAGCGGGGGATGGAAAGAGGTGTCACATGTGATAGAGATCTACCAGGAACCCGGTCAGCTGTTTGCTGTGGGCTGGGGGAAGGCAGGCACCGGATGATTCCCGTGTTCTGGCCTCGGCAACTGAGTAAGAGCGGGGTGAGGAGGAGCAGGCTGGAGGGTCCAGTGAGAGGTGAGTAGGTCTGGAGTTCAGGAGAAAGGTCTGGGCCAGAGGCAGTGCTGAGAGTCAACAGGGTACAAAGGCCACAGGTGGGAACAGGGCTACCCAGGCACACTCATCAGGAGCGACAAGGCCTGGGCTTAAGGATCAGCAGAAGAGGAGCCAGCCATGGAGGCAGAGATGCCCTCACAGAGGTGGGGGTACAGCCAGGAGATGCCTGTGCCTCAAAGGCTGGGCAAAAGAGGCATCAGGAGGGAGAGGGCCGGCAGCCCAGGCGCCACAGCGGGCTGGAGAGGAGATCGTGCTGCCTTTTGCCAGAACCGTTTCAGTAGCGGGGGGCCGGGGGCTACTGGGTAGTGGATGGGTGACTGGAACCTTGACTCCAAACGATCATCTTCCACTGCTCCGCGACTACACAGGCACATTTATAGGGAAGAAGTCAGGAGAAGCGGAGGTCTGAAAGCCACAGGTGAGAGTGGGAATGGCCAAGAGAGGGCCCCAGTCACTCAAGTGAGCCAGAAATCCAAGGAGGGTCCCCGGACCCCGACTTGTACACCTGAGAAGGGCTGCCTCTACTTCAAGGCCACAGGGCAGCTGGTGAGGGCATGGGGCAGCTGCAGGTGAGTTTGGCTGGGAGGAAAGACGGGAAGAAGTTTTGCCTGGTAGGTTGGCTTTCTAGTTTGGGTGGGAGGCAAGGTTGGGTGCTCTGCTAAGAGAAAGCCAGAGTGAGCCGAGTACTTGAAGAGAGTGGGGGAGGTTTAAAGAATCGGGGAGAGCTGCAGAAGGATTGCTGAGCAGAGCTGCGATCCCCACTGAGGCAAGAGACCGTGAGCTTGTCATGGCAGCAGTCTGCGCGGCTGGGCGAGTTTCTCCAGCAGTGCTCAGCAGTGCAGATGCAGGGCAGAGAGCCGTGGAAGAGGATGAGAACAGACACACGCAGCAGGGCCGGGGTGGAGAGGACAGGGAGCCAGGACGGTGGGGCACTAGCAAGAGCCTGCTCAGGGTGAGATCCCAGAGGTTCCCTGGAGAGGACAGGGTGAAGCCGAGACAGCGGGGAGAACAGAAGGGAATAGGTGAGGAATTTTACTGGGACTCAGACAGGGATTGGGGAGGAATAGAGCCTGGGTTCCAGAGTTGAGATGTTTCTCTTGAAAATATCAGAAGGCCCAGTCCCAGGAAGGGGAAGGTCTGAGGCTGAAATAGAGCAGACATAGTCATCTGACCCAGGAAGTCAAGAAGGTTTTTTTTGTTTGTTTGTTTGTTTGTTTGTTTTTTCATTTAATATGGAGTTTTGCTCTTGCTGCCCAGGCTGGTGTGCAGTGGCATGATCTCGGCTCACTGCAACCTCCACCTCCTGGTTCAATCAATTCTCCTGCCTAGCCTCCTGAGTGGCTGGGATTACAGGCACCTGCCACCATACCTGGCTAATTTTGTATTTTTAGTGGAGCCGGGGTTTCTCTACATTGGTCAGGCTGGTCTCAAACTCCCAACCTCAGGTGATCCACCTGCCTTGGCCTCCCAAAGTGTTGGGATGGCTCACAAGCGTGAGCCACTGCACCTGACAAGAAGTTTTTATTCATTCATTCAACAAATATTTATTGGGCATTTACTATGCCAGTCTCTGTGCAAGACACTACATGTAGGGGTGAACAAAACTTGGTTCCTGACCCCTAAGGCCTCCCCGCCCTGCCTCACTGGGGAGATACATTCACACCATGACAGCACCCTGTGGTGACTGCAGTGTGGGAGAATGCCAACGTATGGTGGGAGCACGCAGAGGGGTCCCCACCCAGGAAAGGAGCAAGCAATGTCAAAGCTGAGCCTTTGGGGTGGGAGTTACCCAAGCAAACGGAGTGCAAGGGATCTCCAAGAAGAGGAGAGAGTGTTCTCCGAGGAGAGGTCAGTAGGAGTATGCATTTGGTAAAACCTGAGGGTAACAGAGTGGGGAGAGGCAAGGCAGAGCAGCAGGGTCCCTGAAGGCAGGCACCGAGCTTCCAGAGGGAGGCTTGGAAGGGATGTTAGCAGGGGAGCAGCATGATCAGATTTGCATTTCAGCACTCAGGCTGCAGTATGGAAAATTGATTGGAGCGGAGCAAGGGAGCAGACAGAGACTGGTTAAAGGCTGCGGGGGGCGGGCAGGGGTGGCAAAAAGAGGGTACAGTCAAGAGATATTTAGGATTCAAAATCAGCAGGACTTGATGCTTCTCCTGGATGGGGGAAGGAGGGAGGAAAGGGTCAAGGATGCTTCTCAGATGCCACCAGCTGAGCTGGAGAAAACAAGAGAAGCACATGGGGTGGTTGCAGGGGTGGGGTGCCAGGAGAGAGGGGGATCTCATCTTGAGACAGATTGCATTTGAGGAGGCTGAGAACAACCAGGAGACATCTGTGGGCAGGTACATACGCCAGGGATGAGGTCAGGGCACTCAGCTGTGGTTCAGAGGGGAAGATTATTATTTTAACAGCTTGACAGACTCTTCTTAGGGAGGAATACTCTTGTTTGAGAAAATACCTTGCTACCTGCTAGAGTTAAAAAGGGAAACCTAAGGCCGGGCACGGTGGCTCACGCCTGTACTCTCAGCACTTTGGGAGGCCGAGGCGGGTGGATCACGAGGTCAAGAGATCGAGACCATCCTGGTCAACATGGTGAAACCCCGTCTCTACTAAAAATACAAAACAGCTGGGCATGGTGGCACGTGCCTGTAACCCCAGCTACTCAGGAGGCTGGGGCAGGAGAATTGCCTGAACCCAGGAGGCGGAGGTTGCGGTGAGCCGAGATGGAGCCATTGCACTCCAGCCTGGGTAACAAGAGCGAAACTCCGTCTCAAAAAAAAAAAAAAAGGAAACCTAGGGCATGGGTGACCGTAGGGCCAGCGTAACCACAAAAATGGTTACGCTGCCTTGTGAGAGAAAGGAGTGAAATCTGTTCCGCCCTGAGAGGAGGAGAGCAGAGAGGGAGGGGCTGAGAAGGGAGAGGAGCGCGGGGGAAGGCAGAGAAGCAGGAGGAAGTGAGTGAAGGGCCAGTGGAAATTCCCACTGGTGGACAGCAGTGGTGGACCGCAGAGGTTCCCACTGGCGTGACCTGTGTGGCCTTGTGTGATCCAACACAGTTTGAGTCCCTGTGGAATAAACCCCTTCTCCATCTGCCCCTCTGCACCCCCACAGGCCACAGTGTCCAGTGTCCTTGGTAAAGTCGACTCTATTCACACCTGCATTCTGTGAGTGTGGGCATAGGTGGGAGTGGGGGAGAGGACTTACTTTCACATCTGGGTTCACAGGCACAGCATGGTGCCCATCTGGAAGCAAAGCCTAGTCATGGAGAGGGCCCGACGAACAGGACCTGGGAATGCATAGGACCCCCCAAAGCAGGCCTTGGACTTGGGGATCTGAGTGATCTCACTTTATCTCACTGACATTGGAACAGGAGCACTCTGAAATCCCATGACCCCTGCTGCCCTACACCTGTGACCCTCAGGCTAGACCTCGGCCTAGCCAAGTCAGGCCCAGCCTGTCCTAGAAATCCTCCTAGGAAGTTCCAGCTCAGTGCCCAGAGACACCCCCACATCCCACCCCATCAGGTGAGCTCAGGCTGGAGCAGGCATGTGAGCAACACCCCTCACAACACCCCCCCGACACACATACATAACCCCATCCACCTGCTCCCTGCCAGTCTGACCAGCACATTCCTGGGGACATCAGCTTGGTGGAGGAGCTGAGGTGGGAGCCAGAGAAGCCTTCACAGAGAGCAAAAGCCAGAGTCAGCCAAAGACAGGAGACCAGAAGAGACAGAGGAGATCCGAGACCAGAGGAGCAGAGAAGAGGCCCCAGAGCAAAGCAGGAAAGAGCCAAGGCACCAGGACCTGGATGCAGCGCAGCTAGGCGGCCGCGGCTGGGCCAGTATGTTAGTGTGCAGGCTTTGGAAAGCCATCAGCAGGGCGCTGTTTGCAGAGTTCCTGGCCACGGGGCTGTATGTGTTCTTCGGCGTGGGCTCCGTCATGCGCTGGCCCACAGCGCTTCCTTCCGTGCTGCAGATCGCCATCACCTTCAACCTGGTCACTGCCATGGCTGTGCAGGTCACCTGGAAGGCCAGCGGGGCCCACGCCAACCCCGCCGTGACGCTGGCCTTCCTCGTAGGCTCCCACATCTCTCTGCCCCGAGCTGTGGCCTATGTGGCTGCCCAGCTGGTGGGGGCCACGGTGGGGGCTGCTCTGCTGTATGGGGTCATGCCGGGAGACATCCGAGAGACCCTTGGGATCAATGTGGTAGGTGCCGGGAGGGGCACCCTGGAGGGCCGGGAGGCGGGAAGGCGCACAGGTGGTGAAGGCAGAGGCCAGAACGGAGGTGGGGGAGCAGAGGAGGAAATGAGTTGCCTGCAGACTCCGCACCTGCCCGGGCTGGGCCCCAGGACCCAGAGGACTGAGCCTTGACCTCTGTCTAGGCAGAATAGAAATGTGATAGTGGAAGGAAGAACAGGCGGGGAAGGAGGAAGCCACACAAAGGAGAAGGAATAGAAGGACCTGGCCTTGAACGGTAGACATGGCCAAGGGCGACTGCGGCAAGGCAGAGGAAGGGGCCCCCCGGGGGCTTCACTTTCCTCCCCAGCCTTCACCCACGTCCTCTGCACTCTGGTGGTTCCCAGGCTGTTCCCTCCACCTCAAGGCCTGCCTCACGTCCCTACCCTATTTCCTGACCAACCGTGTTCTACCCTCTTCCCCAAATCTCCTCTTCCCACACCTGCTGCCCGCCTCCTCTCAAGCAAGCCTCCTGAACCACGGGCCAAGCCAGCCCCCTGGTGGGGTGGGAGGAGGGCCACTCACTTCTGCAAGGGCAAGGGTCCAGAGCAGATATGGACCCCGCTGCACAGACCTCCTGAAGTCCTGAAGCTGGGTGGCAGTGTGGTGTCACCCCCTTCCAGCTGAGGAGACAGGCCCAGGGCCAGGGGTGTCTCTGTCTGTCTGAGGGCAGAGCCTACCGGCGTCTGTTCCAGAGTAACTCCCTCACCCAGGTCCGGAACAGCGTCTCAAATGGCCAGGCGGTGGCCGTGGAGCTGCTTCTGACCCTGCAGCTGGTGCTCTGTGTCTTCGCTTCCACCGACAGCCGCCAGACCTCCGGCTCCCCCGCCACCATGATTGGGATCTCTGTGGCACTGGGCCACCTCATTGGGGTAAGGAGCAGAGGGGACACCGTGCACATCCACACACTGGGTCTGTCCCCAGGGAAACTGTGGAACCCTGAAGCCCAGGCAGCGTCCCTCCCTGAGCCCCTCGTGCCTTGGAGCCAAAGCAATAACCCCTGCACCGCAGGGCCAGGATATGGTGCTACGGAGGCCGTGGCTGGCACTATGGCTCTGAGCCAGGACTCAGAAACGGTCCCCTCTCAGGCCTGCCTCAAGCCTTCTCCCACCCTGACCCCACACTTGCTCCCCAGATCCACTTCACCGGCTGCTCCATGAACCCTGCCCGCTCCTTTGGCCCTGCCGTCATCATTGGGAAGTTCACAGTCCACTGGGTGAGCCCCTCTGCCAGCAGCCCTGGGGAAGGGAGGGAGCCTGAGCTGGCAACAGACGGTGGGGTTCACTCGCAGTGGGTCCACGCGGATGGGGAGACGGGCCCCCAGACCACTCTGAGCCTGAAGCGCAGACTTCCCTACGCTCCGATGGCGAGGGCAGGTGTCCTGGCTGGGACTTCCTTTCTCTTCGGCTTCAGCTGCCCGGGGTACCCAGTGGACTGGCAAGAAATGGGCCAGGGCAGGAGCTGCAGCCTTGGCCCAGACTTTTAAGTTCTGGCTGTTTCCTTATTCACTTTCTCCAGCTGGACCAATTTTCAAACTTGGATAAAGAAAGACAAACAGAAATAGACACACACACCAGCAGAGACAGAAACAGCAATAGCCAGGACTCATGGCTAAAACGGGGAAAGTGAGAGAAAAGAGGTGGGGGTGGGTGAGGAGAGCAGCCCGGGCCCCAGCCCCCAGCCACGGCTGCAGAGCCGGGCTCAGCCCCAGTGAAGGCAAGGTCCCCGCAGCTCTCGGGCTTGGGAAGCACAACTTGTGGTTCTCACATTTAGCACCTTAGAGACAGTTGAGGGAGACTTGGGAGACCAAGCCAGCACTAGGGAAGCAGGCAGAGGTCCCAGAGCTGCCCTGCCATCCTGACAGCTCCTGGGTGGGGTGACCACGTCCTTCTCCTCAGGTCTTCTGGGTGGGGCCCCTGACGGGAGCCCTCCTGGCCTCACTGATCTACAACTTCATCCTGTTCCCCGACACCAAGACCCTGACCCAGCGGCTGGCTATCCTCACAGGCACCGCAGAGGTGGGGACAGGGAGAGGGACAGGGGTGGAGCCCCCAAAGAAGGAATCCCAGCCCTGTTCGGGAGCCGTGGAGATGGAGAGTGTGTGTGAAACAGCCTAGGCCTGGCCGCGCCCTCGGGCTCCCTGCCTTGCAGGGCCTGCCTGGAAGTTCTCCCTGGGGATGGCGGGAGGGGGAGGCTTGACCTCTTGTCCTGACCAGGTGGGCTGGAGGGGACAAGCCCTATCCCTGGCATTACCTTTCTGGATAGAATCTGGGAGTAAGCTGGGCGCAGTGGCTCCCGCCTGTAATCCCAGCACTTTGGGAGGCCAAGAGGGGCGGATCATGAGGTCAGGAGTTTGAGACCAGCCTGGCCAACATGGTGAAACCCCGTCTCTACTAAAAATACAAAAATTAGCTGGGTATGGTGGCTCTCGCCTGTCAAACCAGCTACTTGGGAGGCTGAGGCAGGAGAATCGCTTGAACTCAGGAGGTAGAGGTTGCAGTGAGCCGAGATCATGCCACCGAATTCCAACCCAGGTGACAGAGCAAGACTCCGTCTCAAAAAAAAAAAAAGAATCTGGGAGTGAATGTGTCTCGTTCCCTCTCCCTAGGGCCTCCCCATCTCTCTGTGGGACAAAGCAGAGGAAGGCAAGGGACTTGGGATCACCCTCCTCCCCTCTCACCCGCTAGACCCCATAGGAGTCCTGAGCCTCCAGATGCCCGAGTCTTGGGGGAGAAAGGAATGAGAGCCCAGAAAGCCACTCTGCTTAGACATGGGAGCTGCAGGGACCTCAGGAAGCCCAACTTCTTACCCACCCAGGAAACCCTTGGGGTGGAGGGGATAGGCTGTCTGGAGGAATCAGGCCCTGGGACAGCTTCTGAGCTTCTGGGTGGGGGGGATTTCTATGCCCTTGGGTGTGGTTTTGGGGGGCATAGTTCCTCCCTCAGACTGGGGGCTTCCTGAGGACAGAGATTGCTCTCCCAATAAATCTTTGGGTTTTTATTTTTATTTTTTTGAGACAGAGGAGTGTAGAGGCACGATCTCAGCTCACTGCAACCTCCACCTCCAGGGTTCAAGGGATTCTCCGGCCTCAGCCCCCCGAGTAGCTGGGATTAGAGCCGCCCGCCACCACACCCAGCTAATTTTCTTATTTTTATTAGAGACAGGATTTCGCCATGTTGACCAGGCCGGTCTTGAACTCCTGACCTCTGGTGATCCATCCACCTCGGCCTCCCAAAGTGCTGGGATTACAGGCATAAGCCATTGCGTCTGGCCTCTCCCAATAGTTCTTTATTCTTCACTCCTCCGAGGCCCCCACCCTTGAGAAGAGCTGACACAGAGAAGAACATTTTTTCAGGTTGGCAGAGGGGTGGGATAGAGGAAGGGAGGTTTGAGCGAGACAGGCCTTTCCCAGGGAAGCCTCCTCCCAGGTGCTTGCTCCAGCTACCACCCCATAGTCCACCGGTAGGCGGGAACAATCCTTAGAGGGGAAGTGCCCATCCCAGCCATTGACTCATGACCTGGGGTCTCCTGCCTCTCTGTCAGCATTTACAGGATCCCCAAAAAGCTGTGAATAAGCCCTAAGGGTGGTAGGAACTCAGGAGTGACCCAGCAAACTAAGATTTGAGATTCATTGCCTCTGGAAGACTACCAAAATCTAAATGGTTTAATATTTCAAGGCTGCTGTAGATTTATTCTGCCCACAACTTGGAGGTCCTATCTGGATCTTGGCTTCTCTGGCTGTAAAATGGACACGATCCTCCTCCGAGGACTGCTGTGAAATCAAGAAATTGGAAAATCCTTTTGGAAGTTAAAATGCTAGAAAAACAACCCCAATAAATGATGGTTATTATTGCTGTTGCTGTAATTCTTGGGTTTGAATACAATTGCTGTTGGCAATGAGAGGGAGGAGGGAAGGAGAGAGAGGAAGATGACTGAGAGGGAGGGAAGAGAGTGGGTTTTCTCTCACATCATTCATCTACTTCCCAGGGACCCTGTCTCCTCTTCTCCTGGGTCTGCCAACATTGGGGATTTGTGGGTGTGAGGGACTGTGAGAGGGTCCTGGAATGTAGAGGCAAGCCAATAAAGTCAGTTCTCATCTCTATGACGCCCATCACCATGGTACCCTAAGATGCAGCAGCCAAATTCATATAAAAGATGGGTCCTGGCAGCTGGGCATGGTGGCTCACGCCTGTAATCCCAGCACTTTGGGAGGTCAAGGTGGGTGGATCACAAGGTCAGGAGATCAAGACCATCCTGGCCAACATGGTGAAACCCCATCTCTACTAAAATACAAAAAATTAGCCAGGCGTGATAGTGCACACCTGTAATCCGAGCTGGGGAGGCTGAGGCAGGAAAATCGCTTGAACCTGGGAGGTGGAGGTTGCAGTGAGCCAAGATCGTGCCACTGCACTCCAGCCTGGAGACAGAGCAAGACTCCGTCTCAAAAAAAAAAAAAAAAAAAAAAAAAAAAAAAAAAAAAAGAGTCCTGTCCTGGTGCAGGGGCTCCTGCCTGTAATCCCAATATTTTGGGATCCTCCCAAAGTGGGAGGATCACTTGAGGCCAAGAGTTCGAGACCAGCCTGAGCAACATGGCAAAACCCTGCCTTTACAAAAAACTAAAAATTTAGCCAGGCGTGGCGGCTTACCCCTCTAATCACCGATACATTGGGTGGCCAAAGCAGGAGGATTGCTTGAGGCCAGGAGTTCTAGACCATCCTGGGCAGCATAGTGAGACTCCATCTCTATTATTTAAAATGAAAAATTAAATTAAAATACAAATGAAAGATAGATCTTTTTTAATGGTATCTCCTGAGGGACTGGGGATGAGGGAAAGGCTGCCTAAGTCTTCAAGGGCAGCATGACAGACCCAGCCTGGGGCCAGGACAGTAGCTGAATCCCTGGTGCTCATGGCCCCAGTGGCTGTGCTCAGCGTTCTGTAATATCAGTGTAGATACCACTCACATCCCTCCAAGCTGGTCCCCACTCATCCATCTTCGCAATCTCTCACAGCCCAAGGCTGCCTATGCCCTTTTATGAGCAGGGACAGCTGAGTGTCTATCTATATGCATGCATGTATGAGAGCGTATATGTATGCAGAGGACATGATTGACTTGCTAAAAGTCACCCGGGTCCGGAGCATGAACACTTATGGTGTCCCCAGCTCCCAGTTTAGAATTTTCCAAAATAGAGCTCCAGGGGGTCTCATACAAGCTGCAGTCCCAGGAAGGAAGGAAACGGGAACTAGAGGGATAGGGGTGTGGAGCTCCCTTAAGCTCCTTGACAAATCATCACTGCTTTTTGTACCCAGAACCAAGCACACACTGGGTGCTCAATGTAAGTTTGATGAATAATAAGGCTGGGCAGCTGGGAGTGAGGGGAAGCAGTAATAGATCAAGAGGAGAAATTTTCAGGAGTTACAGCTCCAAATAAGCCAGTATGACAACAGCTGAGAAGCCTATGCTTCCAGGTAGGGGCTGGGGAGAAGGTGCATCACCAGACATTTGCTGTTCCACCCACAATTTCAGAGCAGGCTTCACAACGCCTGTCCCGGGAACTTACAGGCCAAAATACAGGGGGGTTGCTTGAAGAGGAAGCTGGGGGGCTATTTTCACCAACAGTTCTTCAAAGCAGTTCTCTATCAGGACAGAGCAGGAGGAAATAAGGTTCCTGAGAAGTGGGGAATTAGGTTAGCCTCTAAGAGCATCCAAGGTTAGATGTGGAAATAAGTAACCAAAGGTTTGCTTCCCCTCCTCTGGAGCCGTTTAATAGGACAGCAGGCCATCTGTTTGGATGAGGGAAGGGCTGGCCTTTGGGGAGCTGAATCTCAGTGGCTCCAGCTGGGGGAAGCAGGCTTCATTGGCCTAGCCCCTGGGCCTGGGTGGGAGCAGGGGACATGGGGAGGACAGAGACCCAACCAGGCCAGCCCTGGGTGTGCATTCCCTTCCTCCTGTTTGTCAGGGAAGTTTTTAATTAATGGTGTGTAATCTGATCTGACCCTTCTCCCTGCTGAGCACTGCCTTCAATCAGTGGAGCCATCTGCAATTGCAATTCATAATTCTCCCAAAAGGGAGGGGGACTCGGGCCGGGTGCCTTGGTGATTAATACAATTAGCCTTTTATGTGGATGATTGTCTTAGCAGGAGCAGATGATGCTGTGCTGGGAGCCTAGGCGGTCACCTCCCGATTGGCTGGCAGGAGGCCCCTCTCTGCTTCCCACCCCCACTGCACATCTTTAACCTGCTACCTCCAGGTATAAAGAGGACAGGCCTCATCTGGGGCCATACTGTGCAAGGAGGAAAAGGCCAGGAAGGGGTTAGGCTCTGAGCCACATTGGCCTCCTAGGACCGAAGGAAGAGCAGAGTCACACAATGATCTGGGCACTTTCACTTTCCAAAGAAAACCGCTTTCACCTAAAAGATTTTGTGGGCCGAAGCTTAAAAAAAAAACACACAACCATATAAACGTAGACTAGAGGTTGACAGGGTTTACATACAGGCCAGGCTCAGGCACTTACCAGCTGTGTGCACTTGGGCAAGTTACTTAAGGATCCTGAGCTTCACTTTCCTCATGTGGAAGACGGAGTACAGTCCAAAGGGCGCTGGAAGAACTACATGAGATGTGTGTGCGTTTAGCACCATGACTGATGTGCAGTCAGATCTCAATCAGTGGCAGCTATTTTTACCACCACCGTCATCATGGTAGATGGCATTCTGCCTACTATGAGTTCAGCTACTTCCCTTGCAGTTTCTAATGAGGCCTGGGCTATTACTTAAGAAGGGATCACATCCTTCCTATACTCCAGGCTTAGCTTGAGCTGAGTGGGGAGAGGAAGAGGGAGAGTATATGCATGTGTTTGGGGGAAAGGTGAAATCACAGAAGAGTCAAGAATTATAAGAATTAGCCCGGGTGCGGTGGCTCAAGCCTGTAATCCCAGCACTTTGGGAGGCCGAGGCGGGTGGATCACGAGGTCAAGAGATCGAGACCATCCTGGTCAACATGGTGAAACCTCGTCTCTACTAAAAATACAAAAACTTAGCTGGGCATGGTGGCGAGTGCCTGTAATCCCAGCTACTCAGGAGGCTGAGGCAGAATTGCCTGAACCCAGGAGGCGGAGGTTGCGGTGAGCCAAGATCACGCCATTGCACTCCAGCCTAGGTAACAAGAGTGAAACTCCGTCTCAAAAAAAAAAAAAAAAAAAAAAAAAAAAAAAAAAAAAATTGTAAGACTTAAACAGCCGGGCGCGGTGGCTCAAGCCTGTAATCCCAGCACTTTGGGAGGCCGAGGCAGGTGGATCACAAGGTCAAGGGATCGAGACCATCCTGGTCAA